TGTGTGTGTGTGTGTGTGTGTGTGTGTGTGTGTGTGTGTGTGTGTGTAAGCCAGCCAGAAGATAACCTCAAGTGCCATCTTTAGGAACACCAGCCACCTCTTTGAGACAGGGTCTCTCATTGACCTGGAGTTCATCAATTAGGTTCAACTAGCTGGCCGAGAAGGCCCAGGGGTCTCTACCTCCCAGCTCTGAGATTACAAACTCATGGTGCCACACACTCCATATTGTTACGTGGGTGCTGGAGATACGCAGAACTCAGTCAAGCCCTTTACCACTGAGTTATATCCCCAATCTATCTCTCTTTCTTTCTTCCCCTTTTTCCATCATACACACACACTTTAGCTTTAAAACCATAAAGTCCAGCAGGTATGGTGGTGCATGCCTTTAATCCCAGTGCTCAGGGAGGCCTAGGCAGGCAGATCTCTGTGAGTTCAAGGTCTGCAAAGCCAGTACAGGACAGCCAAGGATACACAGAAAACAGTCTTGAAACAAAACAAAACAAAACACAAAACAAAGAAACAAACAAACAAAAAAACTCCATGAAGTCTCAAAGGAACACTTTTGTTAACAATTGAACACTGAGAATTATTCATTTGTAAACATTGAAATGGATGTTCTGGGAGATTAAGGGCTTGTTTAAGGTCGTGTGGCAAGGCCACAAGGACAGGGGTGGATATTGGAAGCATTCATCTGGATCCTGTAGCCCTACTGCTGACATTAATTCTGATCTCTCTGCAGAGAACAGAAAAAACGCAAGTGCCAAAGAACAAGAAAAAGAAATGAAAGAGGCCAAAAGAGGCAAAGAAACGCAGAGCCAAAGGCGAAGCCTTCGCCACAAAGAGAAAAGGAAAGGGTGCAGGAAATACCGGTACCTGCCGAAGCTGAAGAAAAAAGCGAGCACCCTGAAGCCCCTGTAACTGAAGCCCTCCCCTTGGCACTCTCCACAAAAGCTGTGCTTGCAGAACACTGTTCTCCAGTACACCAAGAAAGCTTTCAGTGCCAGGAAGTAGCAACACAGGACCATTCTCAAACATACCAATGTGGGGCCAAACCTGAAGACCTCTCTCCTACCACGTGCCAAAACAGAGCAGTGCTTCAATATTCTCCTAGAATGTGCCAAGACATGGCTGGACCTGAGGCAATGCTGCCTAAAATGTGCCAGCAAACAGCTGTGCCTGAAAGCCATTCTTCCATAGTACTCCAAGATATGGCTGGACCTGAGGTAATCCTGCCTAAAATGTGCCAGCAAACAGCTGTGTCCCCAAACCCCAAAGTACCCCAAGATATGGCTGGACCTCAGGTACTCTCTGCTCAGATATGCCAGCAAACAGCTGTGCCCGAAAGCCATTCTTCCAAAGAACCTCAAGATATAGGTGGACATGAGGCGCTCACTCTTAAAATGTGCCAGGAACCAACTGTGCTTCAAGAACATTCTTTGAAAATGTGCCAAGATGTAGCCATACCTGAAGTCCTCTTCCCTAAAACACACCAAGAGATGGCTGTTCCCAACGCCCTTCCCTGGACAACACCTGGAGATGCTGCTGGCCCAGAAGAATGCTCACCCAAAGCACTCCCCCAATCAGGTGTGCCTGAAGGCTGTCCTCTTGACACTTGCCCCAAGTCAGTGAGACCAGAAAAAACCGCTTCCCACCCAGATCAGGGAATGGCTGCGACTGAAGACTTCTTGTCTGAGACCAATGAATGCATTGTGTCTGAAGACTTTTCTACGAAAACACACCAAGAAGCAGCCGAACCCAAATTCACTTCTCATGATACCCATAAAGAACTCAGTGCGCCTACAGTCTCTCCTAAAACAACACCTGGACCTGAAGAATGTTTACCTGAAACATGTGAACCACATGGGCTTGAGAACTATTCAGCCGAAACTTACCAGGAAGTATCCGGGCCTGAAGACCTCTCTAGCAAGACCTGTAAGAACAGGGATGAACGAGTCCAGAAAGCAGATGGGGCCCAAGGACAGAACCCTGCTGCCCACCAGGGCAGCGAGGATGTCCGTACTTTCTCTCAGGGTAAGGGATTTGTACAGCAACAACTCCTTCATAACTGGTGATTTAAAACTGTCTTTGACAGTAGCCAGTTATCTCAATGGGAGCTCTGAATATCTCTGGATCTTTTCAAGTAAAATGTATTTTTCAGGCGGCCAGCATTTCCAAAAAATTTAAATAATTGAAAATTCTAGTTACCCAGTTTGAGAAACTATAGTAAGAGGAACAAACCTGGAGTGGGATTAAAAGAAATGTTCTTTTTTGGTTTTGAGCTAGTACTCACTATGTAACTGTGCTGGTTCGTTTTCATGTTTGAAACCAAATTCTGGTCCTCTGGAAGAGATGCAAGAGCCCTTAAGTACTCAGTCACTATCCAGCCTTAAAAAAGATCACACGCATACACACGCACACACACACACCTTTTGAAACAGAGTCCTGAGCTGAGGGTTGTGGCACACACCTTTAATCCTAGCACTGAGAAGGCAGAGGCAGGCAGATCTCTGTGAGTTCCAGATCAGCCTACATAGTGAGTTCCATCCGAGGGCTACATAATGAGACTGTCTCAAAAAAGCAAAGCAAACCAAACCCCAAACACCTTCAGCTGGTGGATCGAGGACTCAGTGGTTAGAAGCGTGTACTGTTCTTGCAGAGGACTCAAGTTTGGTTTCCAGCACCTATGTGGCGGTTTACAATTGCCTGTAGTTCCAGTTGCCCTTCTCTAGCTCCACAGGGCTCCTGAACACACCTGGTCCACATAAATGAACACAGGCACACAAATACATATAATTATGAATCTTCAAAAAAGAGCACATACTGCTCATTAGAAAAGAATCCTGGGGCTGGAGAGATGGGTCAGAGGTCAAGAGCACTGGCTGCTCTTCCAGAGGTCCTGAGTTCAATTCTCCAGCAACCACATGGTGGCTGACAACCATCTATAAGGAGAACTGGTCCCCTCTTCTGGCATGCGGGTGTACACGCAGCAAACACAACTATTGCATACATAATAAATAAAGAAATAAATGTTTTAAAAAGGAAAAGAACCCCAAGATTATGAAAACACCATCATCTCTATGACAATGGCACTTTACTATTTAAATATCTAATCCAGCTGAAACGTGTCTGCATGGTCTGGGCTCCCCTTCTCGGTGAGTAACCGGCTGGGCTAGTACTGTTTATTGAATAATCTATTCTTTTGTATTTTATTTGATTTTACAGAAATGAAGGAAAAGGCCAAAGCAGATCAAGATCCAGGAACTCCAGCAAGTCCACAGGGTCCTCAAGAGATCTGTCCAGAAAATGACATCTATAGCTATGCTCTGTTTTAACAAGTGCTTGGTGAAGAAGCTGCAGTCCAATGAGCTTCTCTAGTATCGTTTTCCTGAAACATTGAAGCAATCGCTACAATTTGCATTGCTATTTTAACTTGTGTTTTTTTTCCATTTGTAGATCATATCTGAGAGAATTAACTTGCTTTTGTTTTTTGAGACACAGTTTCTCTGTGTAGTCTTGGCAGTCCTGGACTGATTAGTAGACCTGGCTGCTGGCTGGCTTCCAACTCACAGGGATCTGCCTGCCTCTGCCTCCCCGAGAAGAATTAACATTTAAAGGCTCTAATACATAGACAAAGTGTGTGTGTGTGTGTGTGTGTGTGTGTGTGTGTGTGTGTGTGTGTTTGGGTGCCCATGTGCTGGGGCACTTGTGAACAAAGATGTGTGTGTGTGTGTGTATATATGGGAAAGATAGTACAGGGAAGGGACAAACAAGAGCAGGGGAAGGGATGAGTAGTTGATTTTCCCCTCTAAGAAGAAACATATATTTGATAACTCTGAGGAGCAGATAGCTATTTAATATCAACACTTAATATTTTGAAAGTATATAAGTATATAGTAATATATAACTATATTGTGAATTTTGTCAATTATTGATGTCGTAACATCAGAATTTTATTTAAGCCTTATATGGCTCTCTGAGTTAATCTGAACAATTTCTTTGTTTGTTTTTCAAGACAGGGTTACTCTGTGTAGCCTTGACTGTCCTGGACTCACTTTGTAGACCAGGCTGGCCTCGAACTCACAGAGATCTACCTGCCACTGCCTCCCTGAGTGCTGGGATTACAGATGTGTGCTACCATGCCGGCTCTAAACAATTCTTATTCTGGGACTTCTTGCAAGTTATTTTGGAATTGATAAATGCCATTTACTTCTGTGTGTGAACCTGAACCTTCTATTTTTTTTTTTATTTTTAAACTGTATTTGTAAAAAAAAAAAAAATGTATATTAAATCATTTCTATGGGCTTTGCTGTTACCAAGAGCTGTGTGGGTTGCTGGGTTGGCGTGGTGAAACACCTACATGGCACACTGTCCTTGCTCACTAAGCTTTTAACCTGGTCTCACGAGGGAATAACACAAAAAACAAGTCATTACAAAAGAAAGCAGCGAGCGCAGCAGCTTCCTCTCTGAGGAGCCCACACTCTGGCTCCCCGACGTTTTCCTTTCTCTGAGAGCTCCTTTCTTTCTCCTCACCCCCATCCTTAAAATCTATATTAAAGTTTCATTAATGGTGTTGGTGCCATATAATTAGAACATGCAGCAGGAGGAGTGGTAACCTATCCTTGAGCGAAGGGTCTGCACAGCAGACCCAGCACAGTACAGTTCAAGGTCAAGAGAGCTGCATGCCAAATGTGTCAGGTCCATAAGGCAGCTAATCTACTATTGGAGTGCAGAGACCCACTGGACCTGGAGTTACAGGAGGTTGTGAGACACCAGACATGGGTACTGGGAACGAAACCTGCTGGGTCCTCTTAGAGAGCAGTGGGTTTTGTTTTGTTTTGTGTTTGTTTTTTGAGACAAGGTTTCACTGTATAGCTCCAAACTGACCTGGAACCAGCCATGTAGACTGACTATGCTGGCTTCAAATTCATAGCCTTCTGTCTGCCTCTGTCTCCTGAGATCTGGGACCCAAGCACACTGGACCATAGAAAGGAGTCTTAAAAGCTCAGCCATGTCTCTAGCCTTGGTGTAGACTTGTAGACTTAAATGACTTACTGATTTATTAGGTAACCAAGGAGTAAGGCTTTTCAACAATGAAGTTGAAGGTTTTGTATTTCAGAATTCATTTGGTGGAAAGGTCACAGTGAACTGAAAATGACAGGAGACTAGTGGCAGGAACACACATGATTGTGACTGTGAAAATATTTGAAAGTATTCCCGGGTGTTTTGTTGGTCTGGATCTTCCTTGGGCTATTATAGGAGACTAAAAATAAGACTTTGGCAAATAAAAGCTCATTCAGCAAGACCATGTGCTAAGTTCTGAGGCTGTAACAGAAGGACAAGCCCAGCCCCCATAGAGGGGAGGTAGAGTAGTTGTTTTCATGGTCCCTGAGAGCCGGAAGGGAGTCTTCAAGCATACAGGTGTCCAGGACTCTTCCCTAGGCTTCTACGTAGATTTGAGGTGCCATCTAGGTATAGATACATTTGATTTTGAATGGCTTTATGCTGTAAGATTTTAAAAAAAAAATTTATTATTAGTTACATTTTATTAACTCTGTATCCCAGCTTAAGGTTTTAAATTAAAAAAAAATATTTTATGTGCATGAGGGTTTTCTCCATGTACATCTGTGCACTACATGTATGTGTGTGTGGCTCTCGCTGGCCTTCAACTCACAGAGACCAGCCTGCCTCTGCCTCCCCAGTGTTGGGATTAAAGGCATGAGCTACCATGCCCAGCTTTTAATTGTGTGTGTGGAGGCCAGAAGAAGGAATAAGATCTCCGGGAGGTGGAGTTACTACCGGTTGTGCGCTGCGGGATCCCCTGGGAAAGCTGCTGGTGCTGCTTTGAACCTCAGAGCCGCTGCCACAGCTTCGCTTAGGTTATTTTTAAAGCCGGATTCTTACGTCTAGTGTTTCGAAGTCTACTTTTTTGAATTTCAGTAGCTGGCACAGCTAGTAATTATACGCTTTTGGTAGGATTGACAAGCGACTGACCGGCTTGTCTTTCTGGAGGACACACACTTTTTACTTTTTAGTTTTGACTATCGTATTAACAGCGCCGACTAGTGGCAATTGCAGCTTAGCCCGTTTTTACAGCGTGTAGATGTCGCCCAATGGTACTCAGAAACTTGTTTCTCCAGCTAGACGAGAGTAGAAGTATCCTCTAAAAGAAAAAAAAAAAAAGAGCCTGTTGCAAAATTCATGTACAAAACTCCTGATAAAGGGGGTACGGTATACGCTTTAACTTAAACAAAACAAAACAAAACAAAACACACACACACACACACAAACAACCCACAATTCTCTCAAAATACTATTTCCTACTAGTGACCTCTTAGTCGATGACAACGACCAATTAGAAACTGCTTTTCACGGTTAAGTCTTTAATTTGTGCACTTGAATATTTTTAATATTTTATATTACAGGTAATGAGGTGGATCTCCCCTTCTTCCTAAACCAACAAGATTTTGAAATCCCCAAACAATCATGTATGCAAAGTTTGAGTGAGAGAGTATGTGGTTAAAAAGCAGACAACTGGTGCACGGAGGGACAACTGGATATTGCATGAGATTAAGATGCGATTCTTGCTGGTCCTTAACTTTCCAACGTACGTGCTGGCCCTTCGCTCTCATTTCGGCTCCGGTGGTTTGGAGCACAAGAAACGTCCTCGTTTATTTTAACTCCAGCCTAGCTTGGTTGTAACATACACCACTCTTGATTTACTTGGCTTTCTCCGACAAATAGTTACTACTGAAAACGGAGCAGAGAGAGAAACAACCCGTAAGTCCTCGCCTAAGGAGAACTTTAAACATTCAGCCTCCAGTTCTTGGGCCGCTAGATTCTCAGCGGGTAAAGGGAGCCGCTCACGCTCACGACCTGAATTTGGTCCTCGGAGCTACCCGGTGAAAGGAGAGAACCAGCTAATGCATTTTATCATCTGACTTCTACACGCTCCCGCGCACACATAAAAAAAAAAAAAAAAAAAAAAGGCCCCAAACTCCAGGCTTTTTGCTATGTGATCATAGATAAAACGTTCACATCCTTTCCCTTTTGGTCATGGAGGCGGCTTATACTTCAAGGGTATCTTTGCGTGTGCATCTTTATCCACGTGTCCCACCTTCGGAGGCACGCTGCTGCAGGCTGCCCCGAGAGCGCCACAGCCACAGAACGCGTGAGGTGAGAAGTGGGCTGCACAGCGTCTCGGCGCCGAGCCTCCACGCGGCAGCTGGGCCGCCATGGCGCGAGCTAGCCAAGACCCGGCGCCAACCGACTACTGCGCAGGCGCCAGACCCTAAAGGACGGAAGCGGAAGCAGGAAGCTGCGCAGGGCGCATGGAGGACCCGGAGGACTGTAACCATGCGCGGCTTGGAGAAGCAGGGTTCCCGTGCCGCAGCGGCCCCGTGTGGTTGCGCTCAGCCCGCCCTGGAGACAGGTAACTTCTAGGAAACGGGCGGCGTCGTGCCCTTAGCGGCCTCAGGCTAAGCGGCGAAAAGAAAAGGAACGAAAACGAACTGCCTGACGTGCGCTGCTGTCCTTGCCGCCACAGTGAGGGTCACGTGTCCTCGTGACCACGTGACATGACACAAGGCCAACGGGAGTGACACATGACGTTGTGGGACACAGGATGTGGCCTGGGCTTTCTCTCGGTAGCCGCGTCTGCCGTGTGTGTTGTACGGTCTTTTTCTTTAGGGAGTTACAGGGAGCTAGGCTGTCTGTGGCTGATGCTGTCATTTGGCCCCAGTTTCTTCCTCTTTAATCATCTTCCACAAGAGCATGGCTGAGGATTTAAAAACATAAAACCCAAAAAAAAATATTGTAAATACTGTTAGAAAAAGCTTGTAAGTTGTCAGAAGCATACACGATAGACGGACAGAGAAAGCCAGTCTAAGAAGATAATTTTACAGTGTGGTGTCCGCTTTTATGGCATTGAAAGTATTATTTATGCTCGAAAGTACACACGATGAGATCATAATTTTGAAAGGAAATGAATGATGCTAAAGGCTTTTTGCAGATTTCAGCTCCTGGAAGCAGTCTGTAGAGATGTCAGTAGTTAGGTGACACTGGTCTTTGGTGTGGCTGGTGGGAGTATTATGCTTTAACTTACGTACATAATGTTCTCTATGTCTAAGTAATGAGTGTCCAAATCTGCCCCACCCAGTTGGGTTTCCTTCTGGACTTACTCTGTAGACCAGGCTGGCCTTCAACTCAGAGATCTGCCTCCCGAGTGCTGGGATTAACAGCGTGTGTGAGATACAGTCCCAGGCCTTCCTGGTTGTGCTAATAACATGTAATAAGACAGATTTGATGCAAATGAAGTAAAATGGAGATCTGGAGTGCCTCTTCAGAGAACGTAAAGAAATAATTATAAATATAAATTATGATTTATACCTCATATAATCAACACATTTATTATATAAATATAATTTTTGTATTTATAGAACGGTAAGTAAAACCCGAGGTGGGTATGCTGGTGCACAGCTGTGGTCCCAGCAGCTAGGGGATGGGGCTGATGCTGCAGGTTCATGAGTTCGAGGCTGGCCTGAGCTGCATAGCAGGACTCCGTATTAAAACACGTTTTTAATAGTTGTGTTGCACCTAGATTTTAGAACAATGAAATCAGTACACGAGAGGAAGACCTCTTTTCTTACATCTTTGACTTTTGGAGTAATGATTCTTACCCAGTTTTCTCCCATAGGGAATCTTTTAACTGAGCCAATAGGCTATTTGGAATCATGTTTCTCAGCCAAGATTGGTACGCCAAGGCAGCCATCCATTTGTAGTTATTCCAGAGCCTGTTTGAAGATCAGAAAGAGCATCTTTAATAACCCTGAGCATTCCTTGATGGGCCTAGAACAGTTTTCCCATGTTTGGTAAGTTGGTTTCTAGTTAGAGGTGGTAGCTTACGTTGTAAGAAAGTACACCAGTTGAGGGCAGCTCTGGAGCCTGCTATCTTTACCACCCTTATCTGCATGATGATGGATTATGTATAGATTCACATCTCAGTTTGTGCATTTGATTGTTTGCATATTTGGACACTGTTAGGAACCTGGGATACACAGAGGAAACATGTTTTAATTACTGCTGTTCTAATTATGATGGCTGTCTTCTGTTCAGCTGAAACCATAGACCTCCTAAGAGTCAACCTGGAGACCACATCCACAGCTTACTTTTGTACATCCATGGGGTCAGAGCCATGTGCACTGTGTAGCGTGATTGGAAGCTGCATATGCCGAATGCATGGGCGTATTGCCTGTGGCATGCCTGCTAGTTCATGTGTTGTGTGTGGCTACCACTGTGAAACTCTGCTCCAGTAGCAGAATAGTTGAAACAGTAACTGGTTAGCCTCAAATCCTAAAATATTTACCATCGACCTTTTACAGAAGTTGTTTGTGGGCCCTGTTGTAGGCCCTTGAAGACTTCAGTGTACTCTCCCTAAAAGACAAACAGCCTTAAAAATTTGGATACTGCTTGCTCTCATTAGGAATTCTGTTTCTCTTCATGTTTATTTTATCCAACAGGGAAATGCAGTGTTAGGTTTTAGTTTATCCTCTTTTTTTTTTTCAAGATGGGGTTTCTTGGTGTAACCTTGGTTGTCCTAGACTTGCATTGTAGACCAGGCTGACCTTGAGCTAACAGAGATCCACCAGCCTCTGCCTCCTGGAGTGCTGGGATCACAGGCGCGCATTATCACGCCTGGCTTTAGTTTATCCTCTTAGTTATTATGGAGGCCCATGTTAGCTATTTTATGGTTCCTGTAGAAGTTTCACGTTCTTGTTTTTTGCTTTGAGTCCTTTGAGTTGAGTTCTTTAATGTTAGTAATTTATGTAAGGATGACTTATATATTGCAAATATTGGCTAACCCACTGTGATTAGCAAACATCTCATAGACCTGAGTGTAATGATTCAGTGAATTCAGACCTGCTGTTTTCTCTCATGGGTTCTGGCTTTCATACTCCGTTTGGAAAGGCCTTATCAAGTCGGACTCTCCTGAACTTCAGTTTCATCACTGTCAGGGTGAGGGCTACATTATACTTTCCAGGATTGTTATAGTACAAAATAATATGAAAATGTCTTGCAAACTACATGGCAGACATCAGGCACTTAGAAGTAGTGTTCCTACTTCTGTTAAGTCCCTACTGTATGCCAGTCATTGTGTTGGGTTCAAAGGATGTGGAGATGACACTCTTCCTGCATGGAAGGAGGATGGGCTTATTTTCTTATGACTGATAAATAGAACTATTCTTCCTGTTAATTAGGAGATTGCATTTCCTCCTCAAATCATTATACTAAGATAATTTGTCCCCTTAAAACAAGTGCTCTGGTTTATTTTCAATAGGGTTTTGTTTGTTTTTCATAAAAATGGCCATTTGAACTACAAGGCAAAAGTGCAGCCCCCCAGGCTGAACGGGGCAAAGACTGGAGTGTTCTCTACAAGGAGCCCACATCGCCCTAATGCAATCGGACTGACGCTGGCCAAGCTGGAGAAGGTGGAAGGTAACTCATCCATTTGCTTTACTGACGCTGGCAAGCTGTGAAAGGTGGTAGCTCGCTCACTCACATCCACCTTACTGATGCTGGCAAGCTGGGCAAGGGGAAGGTAGCTCGGACCTGTCTGTCTTACTCCTGAAAGTCTTATAAAATTAGCTTAGCATTCACTGCTTGCTGCTGTGAATGCCGACACTAGTGGTATCAATTTTGAGAGCCCTCAGACAGCTAGGGATGTGTGATGATAGAAGAGGTGTTAGCATTGGAAATACTACAAAACAAGCTCTTGGAAGATGCTCAGAGACTGTTTTTATCATTCTACTATAAAAAAAGAAGTGCTATTTTTTAAAAAGATTTATTTATTTATTACATATACAGTATTCTGCCTGAACGCCAGAAGAGGGCACTAGATCTCATTATAAATGAGCCACCAGGTGGTTGCTGGAAATTGAACTCAGGACCTCTGGAAGAGCAGCCAGCGCTCCTAACCTCTGAGCCATCTTTCCAGCCCCAGAAGCGCTATTTTTAAAAGCTCACAAGTTTTGTAATCTTAGATTAGTAATAAGATTGTTTAAGACTTGGGGTGTAGGAAATACAAGCTGATTCAGTGTCCTGGATGCTTTCAGCTGTGATGCATAGTGTGTAGCAGCTCATGCATCTCTGGAAAGCAGGAGAAGAGTCTCATCATTTCTTCTTTGCAGCCTGAAGGAAGGAGACACTTGGGCTACAGTGCAGGCCATCCACTGTACTGTGTGTTCGTGGCCTGGGATTATTATTACATTACAGGCTCTAGCATATGTCAACTGTAGAAGCACCACAGTAGAATACGGGATTGTGTCCCTGTGTAAGCTAGTCAGACCTTTTTATAGAGCTTCTGGTTTTTGTTCCCGTTTGTTGGGTTTTTGTTTGTTTATTGTTTTTGATACAGTCTCATGAATCCAGGTTGACCTTGAAATCCATATAGAGCTGAAGATGACCTTAAGGCTTCTGATCTCCTGCCTCTACCTCCTGAGTGATATGATTACAAGAGGACATCACAGCACTCAGTTTATGTGGGGACCGGACCCAGGGCTTTGCGCATAGTAGGCAAGCATTCTACCAGCTGAGTTCCACCCTAGCTCATAGAGCTTCTCGCGCTTGCATAACGGACTAAGTTTTTGATAGAGAGGCAGAAGACAGCAGCATGTGGGTGGGAGTAGAGAGCTCATTCCAGGTTGTGTCTTGATTGCCTGTTCCTGAAGCGGGCAGAAGCATGGGGCCTGCCTCTCTGACTCCAGAGCTTTTGTTGCTGAGGATCTGAGGAATTTTTTTTTTTTTAATGGTTTTTCAAGACAGAGTTTCTCTGAGTAGTCCTGCTTATCCTGGAACTTTGGAATTCATTTTGTAGACCAGGCTGGCCTCAAACTCAGAGATTCATCTGCCTCTGCCTCTGCCAAAGTGCGGGGATTAAAGGTGTGCCACCACCACTTAACTGTTGCTAAGAATCTTCCCCCCCCCCTCGCCCCGAGACAGAATTTCTGTGTGTAGCCTTAGCTGTCCTGGACTTTGTAGACCAGGCTGGCCTCGAACTCAAATCAATCTGACTGCCTCTGCCTCACAGAGTGCTGGGATTACAGGCATGCACCACCATGCCTGCCTTGTTGTTGAGGGTCTAATACAACAGGTTTTCAGTGCTCTTCAGGACACTGGACTAAATAGACAAGAAGCTTATTTTGTTCTTTTTGGGACCTGAACTCTGCTGAATTGTGCACAGTGTTTGGTATTTTTCCAGCAAATTCATCTGCCTGGTTTTATTAAGATGGCTTATCAAATTAGACAACAGCACTAGCACAATTTCTGATCATTCATGCAAACTCCACGTTGTGGTTACTTTTCTATTGCTGTGATAAGACATGACGAAGGCAGCTTAAAAAAGAAAGTGTTTGTTCAAGGCTTACAGTTTCAGAAGATTACAGTCCATGACTATCATGATGGCTGTGCTTTGGTTCTTATTCAGTCAGTGTTCTGAGAGTCAGGATAAGAGGTTCTGCACCAGGAGCAGAATGTGGACAACAGCTATCCAAGTGGGACAGCCGGAGACTTAATATTTAGTTATAGGGTCTTTTGCCCTGCTAACATTTTTGACTCTTCATGGACATATTTCTAGTTCTGTGTAACAAAATGATCCAGAGTATATCCATTTAGACAGCACTCCTTGGTGATGTATTTAAGACATTGTTATTTTCCAGGGTCAGCAGGATGGACTCATCTTTGCTGGTCCCCTGAAGTGAGGTTGTTTGTCACAAGAGTTAATTTCCTCATAGGTGTAGGATCGAGGGCTCCAGCTTTGTGCTGGGGCTGGCTGGAGGCACCATCAGGTCCTAAAGGCTTCCCACATTTCTAGGGCATCTATGGCTGCCTGCCGCCTGGGCTTTCCCAGCGTGGCTGTGCACTTCATTAGGCTTCAGGAAGAGTTTATTGGGTTGAATCAGCAAGGTTGTCCTATATGGGAATCATCATCAGAGGCTAACAGAGCTCTTTTGCCATATTCATTTTTTTAAAGGAAATTTAATATGCACTGATGTTTTACCTGCATGTTTATCTGTGTGAAGGTGCCAAATCCTTTGGAACTGGAGTGACAGACAGTTGTGGGCTGCCATGTGGGTGCTGGGAATTGAACCCGGATCCTTTGGAAGAGTAGCCAGTGCTCTTAACCACTGAGCCGTCTTTCCAGCCTCCTCTTTTGCCATATTCTATGGCTTAGATGTAAGTTGAACTTAGGGAAGGGGTTACACAGGACACGAGCACCAAGTCGTGGAGCATGTCAGGCCTTCTAAAGTCTGCTTGCCACAGTGGAAATACATGTCAGTCTTGGTGATACATGGAGGACTGTGTGTGCCTGGCAGTGAAGCAACATGTGTTCTGGGGGCCTGGCCCTCACTGTCAAGGCACAGAGGTGTCAGGAAGCCATTGCCGTTCTGTATGAAAAGGCTTGCTTGGAGGTTTGTACTTGTGCCTCTGTGGGATCCAGAAGAAAGAACCAGGAAGGTTTGTAAACGACTTGTTCTGTGAGAGCCCTGAGGAGTGGGAGCTGGGCAGATGAAGATGTGGGATTCTAGGCAGAACAGTGTAAGAGGGCTTAGCGAGTTGCAGGCAAGTATTTGAGAGAGACGTAGCGGGGGGATAGTCTTTCCTTCGTTTGCCTGTACTATTGCCTGACGTAGCGGGGGGATAGTCTTTCCTCCGTTTGCCTGTACCATTGCCTACTCTAAACAAATAAAAGGATCTTTATCCCTTTCAGGTGGGGCTATATACCTCTCTGGAATTGACATGATAAATGGCACACCTGTGCTAGACATAAAGCCCTACATCGCTGACTATGACTCACCACATAACCTGGAGGCTTTGGAGGACTTCAATGTCCACAATAACCACTATAGGCCAAGCGCTGCATCCCAGTCCGATGGCACAACTGACAGTCATGACCAGCGGCTGCTCTCAGGGAAAACACAGCCCTGCTGTAGTGCTGAGGAGAAACCAAAAGGTCTTGAAGACAGAACCTCACAGGAAAACTCACAGATGTCCAAAGATAATGCAGAAACCCAGCACACTTTGCCAGCGGACAGAGAGAGGACAGTGGATTTGGTATTGGAATCAAGCAGAGGGGTCAGCACGGGTCTGGCAGGAGAGCAGCTTGGCCCACAGGATCTGAAGAGCTTTCTGGAAGAAGACACAGCTAGGCCAAGGAATGTGGAAGGTGCCTTGGTCCTGCAGGGGAACAGTGCAGAGACACAGTGGGATGCTTCTTGCCATGCCAGGACAGCTGACAGAGCGCCCTGCAGCGTCGTGCCCAGCTGGGTGAAGGAGGCCCCCGTAGCCCCTTTACGAGTGCGCTTTACTCCTCATGCGGAGATGGACCTGAGGATGCTCAGTTCAGGAGGTGAGCTTGGGCATCCTGGGTCTGAGAGATAGAGAGAGAGATGAGCTTACGTCCTTTTGCATTGTTTTATTTCTTATTGTGCTGGATATCAGGACCTGTGCACATTAGCCACAGACCCAGTCAAACAATGAACTTGTCTTTAGTGAAAAGTAGCTAGGTTGATCCTTCTGAAAGCAGTATGTGAACTTTGTCAGTGTGACTGGGTTTTTAAGGAGTAGGGTTATAAACTGGGTGCACTATCACATGGCACTTCCCGATTGACAGCTGTTTAGTTGGTGGTTAGTCATAGTGCTCAGAAGGCATCTGTGGAGTATTACAATTGTTTTTTATAACTGTGTTTATTTCTGTTTATCCCTGTCAACCCAGCTATCACAGAAATAATTGACTTTTTCATATTTGTTTATAATAAGCTTCACAGCACAGTAACTGAGCACATACTACTTTACGCTTAGCCCTCTAAGCTAATTCCCAGCATGCAACTGAGGGATACTTGCATTTTGTAGCTCTCCTGCTCCAGCTCCTCTCATCCTTACTGGACCTCCACCCATGACTGAGTTCCTTGGCTCAATCCCATACTTCATCTTCTAACTCATCCTTTCTGGTTGGCAGGAAGTTCAGCCCTATTCTCTCCCCTGCTCAGCTGCATGCTGCTTTATTGATATGTCAGAGGACCACTGGAGAGTGGAGTTGATACAACATTAAGACTGGAGATTCTCAGAACAAGGCTTGCAAGCAGATTTGGGGGATACAGAAATCAGCACTTGTATTGCACAGTAACCTTATGCCTACAGTGGAGAGCGGCTGCAGCCTCAGCTGTTGCCCAACCTTGGAGCCTTAGCCTTCATTCATTTTATTATTTTAATCCTGTGTATGCACGTGTATCCTTCTTGGGGTTATAGGTCATGTAGGTGCTGGTGGAGGCCAGAGGAGAGAGGGCTTGGAATCTCCTGGAGCTAGAGTTACAGGCACTTGTGAGCTGCCCAACATGGGTACTAAAAACCTAATTCAAGTCCTTTGTATGAGCAGCAAGTGCTTTTAACTGATGAGTTCTGCTTGTTTTTTTGTGTTCTTTTTTCTAGCAGCTTTCAGACAGTGGATTGTGCTTGGTCTGTGCTTGGATACACTCTGTTTCTTATTTGCTTTCCTATCTGGTCAAAGAGATAACTGTTTTATTGTCAGGGGACCCCAGGATTTCCCAGGGAGAGGAGATGTTCTTGCCGTAATGCTTTCCCTCACAGCACAAGCACTTCATGCCAAAGAGAGGCCACAGGGCCCTGTTTTGGAGTCCATGTAACACGTGGGTCTTAGCATGTGTTGTTTGGTTTCCCCAGTCCTTAGCAGATGGAGAATGAAGGAAGCTGCTGGCTCTTCAGAGGTGAAAATGAGGATGCTAGCAAGAAGTAGCTAGTTTCCAAGGAGATGACGGATATCCAAAGGGTTGAGAGCTGTTCTTGTCTTACTTTTCAGTGAAGAGCCAGCATGGCCATAGGAAGAGGAACATGCACTTGTTCCCTGAGCTTCTCCAGTACTGTGTGGCCTTTGAGAGAAGCGTCAGTAAGAAAAAGGCATCAGAAAACCTCTGCCTCCATGGAGCTTGCAGTCTAAGTGTGGGGAGACAAAAGCTCAAGGCATAGGAAGTGAGCACTGCTGGGCAAAGCACACAGAAACATACACTGTTAGAAGGTGACAGTGGCATAGGACAGAGCAAAGAGAAAGGTAGTGTTAGCAGGTTGTATTTGGAAATAGATGACCAGAGGAAGCCTCGCTGAGGAGACACATGAGAGCAGACAACAAGGAGATGGAGCGAGTCAGCTTGTCCAACGAAAGGGTGCACAGCTCCAAGAGGAGGGGTGTGTAGCTCCTGAGAGGCCGTGTGGCAAAATGAACTGAGGAGGGTCCTAGAGGCTACAGCAAGGGCATGAGGCCACATGGAGTTTTGAAGTCCGGCGGCTTATGTCTTCTGATGAAGAAAGGCCTAAGCCCCTGGGTGCCCTTTACACCATAAAAATCAAGACACCAAGACCTAAGGCCCAGCTTAGGCCTTAGCTGGGCAAACTCAACTAGCTCATCTGAGTTAAGCTTTCCACTTTTCCTCATCCAGGCATGTGGTCAGCTATCCTCCCAGGCCCACAAACATGTCTGTCTCCCTCCGTGTCTCCTGTCAAAAAAGACCTTCTTTCCTCTTCCCAGAGTTCTTTTCTCTCTTCCCAGAAGTTCTGCCCCCCCACCCATACTTTCCAGTTATTGGCCAATCAGAATTTTATTGACAGCCCTTCATCCATACAACACACAAGATATTCCTCAACAATATGCCATTTAAAAAATCTTTGGCCAGGCATGTTGACACACAACTTTCATCCTAGCACTGGGGAGTCAGCCTGATCTACCTAGCAAGTTCCAAGCAAGCCAGGGCTACATAGAGGGACCCTGTCTCAAACCAAAAATATCCCGGAACATACATTCTATGTGTGTGTGTGTGTGTGTGTGTGTGTGTGTGTGTGTGTGTGTTGCACCTGAGCACACCATAGTACCTGTGTGGGTGTCAGAGGACAACTTGCAGGAGTCAGTTCTTCTTCCACCACTGGGTATTGAACTCAGGTTGTCAGGCCATCTCATCAGTCCCTTAAAAAAGTACATGCACACACATACTACTTTATGTGTGTGAGAGTTTTGCCTGTATGGGCGTATGTGCATGTGTGTGTGTGTGGTGACCACAGAGGACAGAAAAGGGTTTTAGATCCCCTGGAAGTGGAGTTTTGAACAGCTGTGAGCCACCATGTGGGTGCTAGGAACTGGATCTGGGTCCTCTGCGAAATAAATGCTCTTATGTGCTAAGCTATCTCTCCAGCCCCCATGAATACTACATTTAAAAACTGAAATATGTTAAAGAATGCATGCACATGGGAGGTTTCGTCACTTGGAGAGGTGAGGTCTCTTTACTGAAATACAAGATTGGGTGGCACAGTGTTTGGCCCTCTCTGAGGTGCTGAGCTTCTAATGGGTCTTTTGAAGTTTTGTTTTACACTCTCCGTCTGTGAGGAATGTGGCATTGCTTCCGGCAGTGGGGTTTGGACACTTAGTTTTTGCCCCTTCTTCCTTCATGCTCTCCCTCCCCTGTAAATGGCCTGGAGTTTACTGTGTAGATCAGGCTAACCTTAAACTCCCAGAGATCTGCCTGCCTCTGCCTAACAAGTGCTGGGATTAAAGGTGTCAGGGGTGGGTAGTGGGTCGCTTTGAGAATACTGGGAATGCCACTTGTTTCCTTAACCATGGCTCTTCCACTGGGAAAATGACAAGAGTTAAGTTAAAGTATAGAGTGAATATAGAAACAGTGGTATTTGGTGGACAGGAAAAAAAATGCTTGCTTCTCCTGTTTTGGAGACCTGTTAAAAATACACCATTAGGATTTTGTTCAGTAAAAGAAAAAATTTAGCGATGCACAGATTAACTCTAATGATAGTAAATACTTTATGAAGATAATAGTCTCTGAAATGACTAGGTTTCCAGACCCTGTTCGTTTCGTGTGCCATGCGAAGCAACTGCATTTTATGCTGAAACTCACTGTTTGGAATGGAAGTTTAACCTGCACTGTGTAAGTACAAGCCTGTGTCTTTCTCGTTGCAGACGCTGGTCAGATGTCATTCAAATACTTTCGGTCCACAGAGGAAGCGAAATGTGCCATTGAGGCTGTGCTGTCTGCTGATCCTCGGTCTGTGTACCGCCGGAAGCTCTGTCAGGACCGCCTTTTCTTCTTCACTGTAGACATAGCACATGTCACGTGCTGGTTTGGTGATGGCTTTGCAGAGGTTCTGAGGGTTAAACTGGCTTCCCAGCCTGTTCAGATGACTGACCCTGAGGAATCCTTGGTGGCTCTGGGATCCTGAAGGCTCCTGTTGTGTTTTAGACAGCATCGTTGACCTCTGGATGTATCCGTCTTTGTCATGGGGCTGCTTTGGTTGACACTGTCTGAAATATTTATTGGAAGGAATTTTTTGTTGTTGTTTTTGTTTTCTCCAGAGGTTTTTCTGTGTCGCCCTGGCTATTTTGGAACTTGCTTTGTAGACCAGGCTGGCCTCAAACTCACAGAGATCCACCTGCCTCTGCCTCCCAAGTGCTGGGATTAAAGGTGTGCTCCATTGTGCCTTTCGAAGGAAATGTATATTAATAAACTTACTGAGAACTGTGAAATACAGAGTATACCCTGTGCTTTGCTTCAATGTTGAAGATTCCCAAAATGCTGCTGTGGGTGACTGCCTGAAAACACTCATCATTCGTAGTGCTTGATACAGAGAACATTCTATTTTATTTTACTAGGTTTTTGAGACAGGGTTTCTCTGTGTTGCCCTGGCTGTCCTGGAACTTTCTCTGTAGACCAGGCTGGCCTTGAACTCAGAGATGCTCCTGCCTGTATCTCCTTGAGCACTCAGAACAAAGGTTTGTGCCACCACTCTGCTAAGAGAGCATTCTAACAGGGCCTTACATAACAGAGTACACTGCTTTCCTCATGCAAGTGCCTGACCTCAGCCGTCTGTACTGCCTCACACTTTTAGTCCCAGCACTCTGCGGGCAGAAGCAGGCAGATCTCTGTGAGTTCAAGGCCAGCCTGCTCTACAAAGTGAGTTCCAGGACAGCCAGGGCTGTTACACAGAGAAACCCTGTCTCGAAAAACAAACCAAACCAACCAACCAACCAACCAACCAACCAACCAACCAACCAAATAAAAAAACCTGAAGAGCCTGATCTCTCTATTCTATTGTAAATCACAGAGTTATAATGTCTTAGGTGACTAACAAGTAGAATCAAGTAACTGTAGGAACCTTTATGGATTAAATTCCTGCATTTGAGGGACTTTGTGACACACAGATAGAATCTCTGAGCTTCTTTGACTATCCTTGAATCAGAAAACAAACCACCTCCCTCAACCTCAAGAATGTTGTTACTGGTTTGTTCCTGACTTACTCTGTGACTGTGAAGAAGTTGCCGAAACTCAGCTTTTGATGATTAATATAAGATAAACAAGATGCGGGGCAGAGGTCACGGCAGACTCTCATGTAGCCCAGGCTAGCCTGCCGCTCTGATACTAGGTCTGGGATTATAGGCGTGTAACACCACACCTGGCTCAAGATGCATGCCGCAAGTCATGGTTTGTGGAGGAAGTAGACATAAATAAGTCAGTGTCTTACAGGTTGGTAAACTAATTAGCACCACACAGTCCTGGGCCATGTAGGAAGCGATTGTGGAAATGTATGGCCTGTAGGTGATTTTAATGAGATGATCTGAGATAACTGAGGCTTTATGATCAGTGTAACCAGATTAGACACCTGTCAACATGACGCTCTTTCCCAATCTCTGCTGCAGATCTCAGAGCTGATTGATCAAGGTTTGGAAAGGACCCACAGCCTGTGCAAACTTGCCCAGCCATTGTGGCTGATGACATTCCACTCCTGCGCCAGACTGGTTTGTAGCTGTTTGTTACCTTTGACATTACTTATGATGTTTTGGGACAAGATCTAAAGTCAATTTTCCTAAACCTTTTTTATTTTTAAGATATAGATTGTAGGAATTTGTAAAAAAAAAAAAAAAAAAAAAAGCCCAGAGGTCCCTTTCAGTCTTTACCTGGCTTCTTCCATTGGAAACATCTAGAAATATAGTTTAGTATCATAGCTAAGAAGTAGGCATTGGTAGGGTCTACTGCTTAGTCTGATTCGGATGCCTTTTTTTTGTGTGTGTGTGTATCCATGTGGGTCTGTTGTATGGATATGTGCACGTGTGTGTGTGGGTGGAGGCCAGAAATGGTATCCAGTTAAAAAAACAATTATAACAAAACAAAACCTAACTCTTGGAGTCAGGTATGGTAGGCCTTTAATTCCAGCCCCCAGGAGGCAGAGCCAGGCAGATCTCTGGGTTTGTAGGCCAGCCTGTTCTACAAAGAAAGTTCCAGAACAGCTAGGGTTATACATAGAAACCCTGTCTCAAAAAACCCAAACCAAAAACAAACCAAAATTATCTCTGAAAATAGAGTCTTTTTGTTTTTATTTTTGTTTTTGAGACAGGGTTTCTCTGTGTAGCCCTGATTGTCCTAGAAATTGCTCTGTACACCAGGCTGCCCTTGAACTCAAGAGATCCATCAGCCTGTGCCTCCTGAGTGCTGGAATTAAAGGGGAGGGCCACCATGCCTGGCATAGCTGCTCTTTCATACATTTGTATCTATCTATCTATCTATCTATCTATCTATCTATCTATCTATCTATTTATGTACATTTATGAGTACAGACACATACCTATGTGTCAGAGAGAACTTTCTGGGGATGGGTTTTCTCCTCCTACTAAGTGGATCCTGGGGATTGAGCTTAGGTTATCAAGCCTGGTAGCAAGTGCCCTTACCCGCTGAGCCATCTCACTACCCCCCTACAGCCCTGTTCGTTCTTTTTCTTGCTGAAGCTAAAATTGCTCTTTATATTGTCAGAGGAAGACTGAAATAAAAACTACTCAACCAACAAAACAAAATCCAAGAAACAACACATGATACAGATAGGCTCACAAAGCTAGAAATATTTGTTGATTGGTCCTCTTCAAAAAGACTGCTGGCTATTGATCTAGAACATTGATTCTCCCAACTGGTGTTTACAGTTCCAGAAAAGTTATTTGTGCATCAAGTTTTAATACTATCACAGACTTCTGAGATCCTCTTTGTGGTTTGAAGGGGTTTACATCACTGTTAGAAAATTTGTAGACTAAAAGCTAAATTATAGCTTATTTTTATATTTCCTGTATGTCTTAGAGTTTTATATTTCCTATCTGTCTTGCTACAGTGTAATACCATGACCAAAAAGAAAGTTGGGGAAAGAACTTCCATATGCTGTTCATTACTAAAGGAAGTCAGGACAGGAACTCAGGCCAGGAACCTGGAGGTAAGGGCTGATCTAGAGGCCATGGAGGGGTGCTGCTCACTGGCTTTCTCCTCAGGCTTGCTCAGCCTGCCTTCTTATGGAACCCAGGACCACCTGCCCAGGGATGGCACCTCCCACAGTGGGCTGGGCCCTCCCCCATTGATCACTGACTAAGAAAATGCCTTACAGCTGGATCTTATAGAGACATTTCCTCAACTGAGGCTCCTTCCTCTCTGATGACTCTAGCTTGTGTCAAGTTTGCACACAAAACCAGCCAGTACACTGTTCATATATAAAAAATGAGATCATACAAATCCATGCTTACACAATGTGTAGAAGGTTCTGGAAGGATGGACACACATACTGGTGAAGATTACTTATTTTCTTGGTGCTATGGGCTAAATAGTGTCCCCTGCCTCCTGGGCAAGTGCCCTGAGCCATAGCCCCAGCCCAGTGGCATCTCTTCAGTGTTCTCTGGAACGCACTGGGAAAGGCATTATTTGCTATATTGCCTTCAGTCCACTGTGAGTTTTTCTGATCAGGAGTGCATCTGATTTTTATATGTGGAACTTAGGAAAATGTCCTTTCCACTTGGAGTGGATGTTGGTTGTGTGTAACCTATTGAGTTAGATTTCTGTGTTTAAATTCACCACTGTATATCCTTCCTTCCATGGCCCCTGAAATAGGGTGCTTATAAAAAAGGACTTGCATTTCCTGCTGTGTCCCCTGTGAATCACGGAGCCCAAACTGACATTGCACATGATGGGCTGTGGACCTTTATCATGCTTGAGTAGTAACTGGAGCTGAAGCCTTGTCCCTGGGGTGGCCAGCTGTTTGCTGCTTTCCCAGATCTTCAGGCACAGCCATGTGCCTCAGAGGAGTAGAGGGCTTCCTGCTGCATGGTGCTGCTGGCCAACGTCCGAGCCAACAGCACTCCTTGGTCCAGAATGGCCAGAGCTGTTCATCCTGTCTGGACTAAGATGCTCCTGCTCATCGCCATCTACTGGTCCACTGTGTCCTTGTGCTGTAGAGCACTCAACTTATCACATGATTGCAGAGGTAGCTCTCAGGAAGTCCCTAAGGCTGACTCTGGCCCACTGTCTGATAGGAGCCCTTTAGAGTGTCAGCAATAAAAACCCACTTTGGAAACCAAGACTGGCTGTGTACAATGAGTGAGAGGCTATGCTGAGGTGTGTGTGTGTTGGTGGGGGGAGTGGCATGAGGAAGGCCAGGCTATCCTGTTGGCAGGGCAGAGCCTGTGTGTGGTGTGGATTAGGACTGTCCACAGACTTGGAGGTGGGAGAGGAGTCTGTCTGAGAACTGGTAGAAGCAAGGAAGATACAATTCAGGAACACTAGGCACTAGGGAGACCAGATTATTTTCTTTCTGGGCTTTTTTTTTTTAATGTACTCTCCTAACTTCCTATAATTTTATTGTATGTGATGAGTGTTTTGCCTGCCTGAACCACATGTGTGCAGTACCCTCAGAGGCCAAAAGGGGGCATCAGATCCTCTGGGATTGGAGCTACACACTTGTTAAGAACCGTGTGGGTTCTGGGAGCTGAACCCAGGTCCTCTGCAAGTGAGGAAGCTCTTGTAATAGCTGAGCCTTCCACCGCTCCTCTTGCCGACATGCACCCTCAGGTACACTGAAAGGTACTTTAGAGCACAGGTGCGGGACTGGACATGACTCAACCATTAACACCTGCAGCTCAAGTGTGAGGAGCCAGTAAAAGCCAGGCATGGTCCGTAAGTGCCTGTAACCTTAGCACTGAGGGGAAGAGATGGGAGGATCACTGGGGCCTGCTGGTTGACAGTCTATTAATAAAAAAAAGCCCAGAGCGAGACCCTGCCTCAGAGGAATGGGTTCCTAGAAACTCTGCTTAGGTTTCTATGCACAACATGAGGTGGGAGGAGCCTGTGCATCAGGGCTGCAGATCAGCCTGCTTGGCTGGGACAGATAGCTCTCTGTGGACATCAGTCCAGTCACTAAATATGTGAGGGAGGCCATCTGACATCCACTTTTGAGCTGGCTGGCCTAGCTGCCCAAACATAGCTAAGCACGAACGAAATGAGGCAGAGGCAGGAAGGAGAAGCAGAGGTGTTTACAGAGTGAGTTTTTGTTGCTGTTTTGTTTTCAGACAGGGTCTTGCTGTGTAGTTCCAGCTGGCCTCAAACTACTATGTAGAGCAGCCTGATCTGGGACTCACAGAAATCACCTTCCTTTGCCTCCCTAGTGCTGGAATCAAAGGCAACTACCCAAACAGGTAGGGTGTTTATAGTTTTAAGCCACTAAATTTTGGAGTTGTTTAGTATTAAGAAAAAAAACCAAGCAAACCTTGGCTGTGCCCTCTAGCTAGCACATTCTAGGATGTAGTGAAAGGCCAGAGTTTTACAGGAGTGATTAGCATGAAGAAAAGAACCTTTACATGGTGAATGAGGATAGGTTTCTGTGAAGAAGGTTGTGAAAGAGCAATAATACAAAATAGATAACATCTACTATGCCCTTTGGTTCAGCTGTGGAGCTAAACAAAATTTTGGTGACTAAATAAGGAATCTTTAATATGTACAACATAGCATCGTTATTCCCTGTCAAAACAGGTAAAATCCTCAATCAGGCCTGGTACACATCTGTAATCTCAGCAGTGGGAGGTAGGGCTGGGAGATCAGGAGTTTGAGGCTATCCCGCCTTAAAAAAAAAAAAAGCCCCCAAACAAACAAACAAAAAGAAAACCAAACAAACCATAGAACCTGTCAAAAACCCAAACAAACCTCCTGTCTAACAGGGATGAAACTGGGAAGGTATTACGTGAAAGAAGCTAACCTCAGAAAGACAAGACACGTGGAAGCTAAAAAGCTGACTGCACAGCAGCAGAGGCTGTTGAATATGAGGAAGGGCATGGGGCAGGTAGAGAAAGAGGGTTTGGATAAAGGACACGGACATACAGGCATGGATGAGGATCCTAGGAGAATCTACCACAGACTCAGCTTACTGTACAGTGAAATGCCCCTCCCAGCCAGGCCTTCCACCGGTAAGCCCTGACTCCAATATTGCCAAAGAAGGGAGGTTACCACGTCCTTGGGGAAAGTGTTAGCCAGGCAAGGTGGTGTACAACTTCCGTCCCTGGGGAAGCTGAGCAGGAGGATCTTACGCTCCAGTCAGCTTGGGCTCTTTAAGGAGATCCCGTTTCAAAGAAGAAAAAAACAAAACAAAACACCCAAAACCTGTTAAATAGTGATACTGTCAGAGGCATTGCGCACTGGACCAAGCAGTATGATAAAGCTCTGTTGAGTGCATGGTGTAAACCACATTGTCATTGTCCATATAATGGGGTCAGTAGAGAATACCCAAGTGAGTAAGTGATGATGGTAGACACCATCTTCCTTGAAAGAAGTCTCTAAGGAAATGGGTGAAGTTATTGAAGATAACATCCCAGGTTGTCCTCTGGCTTACACACACACACACACACACACACACACACACACACACACACACACATGCATACCTACGCTACCCCCTAAAAAAAGCAGAGAACACAGGGCTAGAGATGGCTCAGTAGTTAAGAGCACCCACTGTTCTTCCAGGGGACCTGGGTTCTAATCCCAGCACCTACCTATATGGTGGCTCACAACTGTCTGTACTCCAGTTCAGGGGATCTGACACCCTCTTCTGGCTTTCTGGGATCAATGCAGTCATGTAGTTCATGTATAAAATGCAGGCAAGACAGTCATACACACCAAATAAAAGGGGAAATATCTTTAAATTTTTTAATTTTTATTTTATGCGCATTGGTGTTTTCCCTGCAAGTGTGTCTGTGTGAGAGTGCCAGATCTTGGAGTGACAATTGTGAGCTGCCATGTGGGTACTGGAAATTGAATTCAGGTTCTCTGGAAGAGCAACCAGCCAGAGCTCTTAATGAAAGACCCCTGCCTCACCCTAAGTTAAACATAGCTAACGCCATTTTGTGAGACACCACTGTTTTGTAAAACTCTGAAGGCTAAATGAAAAACTGGAAAATTACTAAGAAACCCAGCTGTGTCATCCACTTGGGATATCTGCCGTCAGGCTGCCCCAGTTGAGCTAAAAACAGTTTGTATTAATCACCCTCATGGATATCTGTGAGACTGTTCCAGTTAAGATAAGGGTCCTAAGGAAAACAGCAGGTGGCGGGTCACGTCAGGGGGTCATCATGACTGTTTCGACCACCCAGTTCCTGGAATCTTGGTGTCCCTGCCAAACTTTGATGCAAACCGTGGTCTCATGTAAACGTACGAATCAGCCCCCTGTAACCATGCTTCTCGCTTCTGTACCCACGCTTCTGCTCTAAAACCCTATAAAAACCCCAGCCTTTCACCCAGGGGGCGCGCAAAGTCATCCGAATGACCTTGCTGCCCCGGGTACCCGTGTATCAAAATAAAAGCCTCTTGCTGTTTGCATCCGAATGGCCTCGTTGTTCCTTGGGAGGGGGTCTCTCAGATGGAAGATACCCTCCGGGGATCTTTCATTAACTGTTGAGCCATATCTTCAGCCCAGGGGAAAATTTTTTTCTTTTTAAAGTGGAGAATATGAATTGTGGAGACCAGCTGGTCACCCAGATCTAACATATGACTGATAAATGTAATAGCAATTAATCCAAGTGGCAGCTTCCCACAGGTGAAGCCACTGCTCCTGGGGACAGGGGTGGGAGGGATTCAAGGTAGTCCAAAGGACACAAGCTCTGGCCACAAGAAGCTTTTAATGCAATTTTATTGAAACCAAAACAAAAAAACCCCTACTTTGGTACTAATTTGAAAAAATACCTTGCCAGTTTCTAAAAATGGGGCCAAAAGAAAACAGACGTGGCTGGGCATGGTGGCCCATGGGTTTAATCCCCAGTACTTGGGAGGCAGAGGCAGGCTGATCTCTGAGTTGGAGGCCAGCCTGAGTTCCAGGACAGCCAAGGCTACAGTCTCAAAAAAACCACCACCAACAAACCAAACCAACCAAAAAAACCAACCAACCAAACAAACAAAAAACCAGATCCCCATTTCCTTCTTGCAAGCCTGTCTCTCAAATCTTCCATTGCCCCAAGGGGCTGGTTTGGAAATCAGATCCGCCCAGCTCTTTCTCAGAGCCCAGCGCAGCCGCACGGAGGAAGGGAAGCTTGAAGCGGCTTGCAGCGGATCTGTTCTCATCCGAGGCCGCTCATCCCTCCCACGTGCCAGCCTGGTGGGTCTGTGCTGGAGCACGCACCGCTTCAGCCCTGAGACCCTGGCCGGGATCCAGCCAGGGGAGGCCTTGCAGGAAGGAGCCAGAGGAATGCCTGCAAGGCTGAGAGCATCTGGGGCCGTGTGCAAATGGTGATGCAATTCCCGCAGCTTCCTTGGGAGGAGCCAGGCGCTGTAACCCCAAGCCGAGCACGAAAGGGGGTGGGGGCGGGGGTCAGGGATAGAGAAACGTTTTCGCAGTCTTTGGCCTTTGACTACCCAGGGCACTACCACTGGAGTAAAAACAGCTTTTCCACTCCCTTTGACTTCCCGTGTGGTTGAGATTGGTTTTCCTGGATCCAACGGGTTGGAATGGGTTGCCGTGGGAAGTTGTAAGTTCCCTGCCTGCGGTGCGGGATAGCTAATTGTCAGCAACGTTGTGGAGGCGAAGAAGATGCTGTGAGTCTTTGGTGCCCATTGTCCCTAAGATGCTGCCAGAGAGAGGTACGCAACCTGCTGCAGATTTCACAACCGTCTTCCCAGGTCGGTGATGCAAACTCCTTCAGGAGAAAGTCCTGGCTGCTGAGGTGGACCCTGGGCTGTTGGGGAGTGCCTGACTCATGCTTCTCAGCCCATGCCAGCATTTCAGAGGGAAGCGATGCGATGCATCTCCCCCACTTCTTCCTCTGCGTGCCCCCTGAAGGCAAGCGTCTCCTCTCCAGTCCTCCTCCTCCTCCCTGTGGCTGCCCATGAACTCTCTGGGAGAGCTCAGCCACAGCTCCGACTCCAGCGCGCACTCCTGTGTATACCAGGCTGTTCCCAGCCTTGAGTTCTTGAGCCCCTCGCCTCGCCTTCGGGGAGCCTTCCAGGAAGCCAGCGGCCTCGTCTCCTTTCCACATCTCATACACAGCGTCTTCGGGAGGAGGCTGTTTCTTCCACCTTCAAATTGGACACCGCTCTCGGCTCTAACTTTGTTTCTATGTGTGTCCGAGCCTTCACATACTCCCTCCAGGTGCAGCTCTTTGGCCTTTCTCATCCCAACTCCATCACCATCAATCCCATTGCCGGAGTGGGATCCTGCCTCCACCAGTTGGTCGTTCCCATATGAACGAGTGCAAAGCATAAAAAAAAGACAGATCCTTCCAAGTGTGGGCAAAGACACAGGGCAACCCAGATCCTGGTGCAGGACCCAGCGGACGTGTGGAACAGCAAAACACCTCTGGAAAACTAGTAGCCTCTGTTCAAGGGGGAAAGGCATGACCCATGAGCCAACACAGCTGCCATGAGAACTGAGCCCAGCAAAACCACAGTCCCCAGGGCAGTGGCTCTCCACCTGTGGGTTGCAACCATCACGCAGGGGTCATCTAAGAACACCAGAAAACACAGATCACTACGTTACAATTACCAGCAGTAGCAAAGTTACAGTTGTGAAGTAGCAATGGGAATAGACTCATGGTTGGGGCTCACTGCTGGAGGAACTGTATCGAAGGGTCACGGCCGGCCTTCGCCAGAAGGGTAGGAATCGGTGCACTGGAGCATCTCCCTGCAGAAAGGTGCCGTCCACAGATGGGGAGCTACAGAGCAGTCAGGAAACCCAACGTGAGTGTCACTGGGTTCCAGGGCCTCGGGAACATATGTTGAGTTAACTAAGTCACGTACACTAGTAAGACGGCGAGAGTCTGGCGTGGTCAGGATGCCGCTTTGTCTGTGCAGAATTCCTGAGAGGGGCCGCTCTGGCCTTCTGGAGTTTTAGCAATGTCTACCTTTTACAAATTATTTTTATTATTTTAAAGTTATGTATATATGTGTGTGACTTGAACAGGAGTTCAAGTGCCCTCTGAACCCAGAAGAGGGCACCGGGTCCCCTGGAGCTGGAGTTACAGGTGACTGTGAGCTGCCTGACAGGGGTTCTGGGAACCGAACTCAGGCCCTCTCCAAGAGCAGCAAGTGCTGATTTCTCAGCTTCAGCCGTATCTGTGTGTGTTTAAAATGATTATCTCCTGTGTATGGTCGTTTTGCCTGCACGTGTGTCCATGCACCATGTATGTGGTGGCTGAAGAGGTCATAACAGGGCGTCGGAGCCCCTGGAATTTGAGTTACAGATGGTTGTGAACTGCCATGTGGGCGCTGGGGACGGAATCCAGGCCCTTCGGAGGATCAGTCAGCGCTCCGAACCCCTGAGCCATCTCTCTAGTCCGAGCATTTATCTCCTTTACTCTTTCCTCCCTCCCTGCCGCCCCCCTCTGCGTCTCTTCTTTCGTTTCACAGTGTCTCAATATGTAGCCCAGGCTGGCCTCTAACTCTGGTCCTCCTGTCTCTGCCGCCCTGGGGTCCCAGGGGTGCCTCGTGCTATTTTCCTTCCCTGGATGCTATTTCCAGAGGTATGGTTGGTTTCTGAGAAGTTTTGCCATATATCAGCCATACTTCCTAGAAACTCACTAGGCCTGCCTCCCCCATATGCACACGGGTAGAAAGCCCCCTCGCTGGTGCGCATGCCCAGGGGAGAACCCTGCAAGCAGGAAACACAAGCAAGCTCCCCAGGATACCCACAGGCCTGCCAGGCTTCCTCCTTTCTATCCATGGCTTCTCTGTCCACTCTCTAGGCCAGTCCTGGTCTGCTGGCCGGCCTCTCTGTCCTGGATGTTTTTTTTTTTTCCCCTCTGTGTCTTCAGCTCGACCTGCCTCTTTCCACCTTCTCCATGAGAGTTCTCCAACCTCCGTGGTGGAATAGCACCTCTATACGCTACTCCTCCCTGTCCCCAGCTCTGGCCTCTGCTCGCCTGTGTAATTCCCTTAAAGAAGGGAAGTTTAGCGATAGGAATGGTGTCTCTTTCACCTTTGTAAACCCCCTCGGGGCCAAACCTGTGCCTGGTACTGTGCCTCAGCTAATGAGTGTTTGACAAATGATCCCTAGTGCATTCACAGTTAAGCTGTCATCTGCCTTGCCAGAAAGCCGAGGCATCCAGTGTGAAGAAGAAGAAGAAGAAGAAGAAGAAAAAAAAAAAAAAAAAAAAAACACCTCTTGTGCAGGGCCAAACCCCCCTGGAGGAGTCAGCACATCCTGATGGTCCTTCATGGGCCGCTGACAGCCCCAGTAGAGGGAACTGGGTTCCGCAGCATTGTGGGCGTGTCCAATTAGACTCGGTGAGACCGAGCTGCCCTCCTAACATGAATAAGCCGTGCAAATATGTGGTTAATGACCATGTCGCTCCGTGTCAGTTCTTAATCCCAGATAATTAGCAGATAGATAATTGGTGGAAGAACTGCAGGTGCTGACAGACGACCCATCACTTGGGTGAAGTTAATGATCCTCTGTGGATTAAGACCCACCCTCTGGGAGTGTTGATGGCTGCTATTTGAAATGCTCCTTTTGAAAGGGCCTGCATCCAAAAAGAGGTGTCAAGAGCTCCAGCTCGGGGTGTGGCATCAGAACTAATTCCCTGAGCTGCTTCCGGGAAGGTGGGCGGAGAGAGGCAGGGCTGCCAGCCTGACAAGGCAGCTAGGGGTCCTGTGCTGACCCCACACGACTGAAGCCCCAGCTGGTCCTGCTTTTGTCATGTTTGCAAGGGTTCAAGGTGTGCTGTAGCGTGAGAGTGTGTAGCTGACATTTTCATTAGGTGGACTTTTTCAAAACAAAACATTTATTTATTTATTTTATGTATAAGAGTGCTCTATCTGCATGTACATCTGCAAGCCAGAAGAAGACACCAGATCACATTATAGATGGTTGTGAGCCACCATGTGGTTGCTGGGAATTGAACTCAGGACCTCTGGAAGGGCAGACAGTGCTTTTAACCACTGAGCCACTCTTCAGCCTAGGTGCACTTTTTGCTGCTGTCAGTTTGCTTGGGTAGTTTGACTGGTGTGGATGACAGCATGTGTGGAAAGAACCTTTGGAAGATGAAAAGAGACATCTGAATCTAGGAGGTGGTGGCGCACACCTCTAATCTCAGCACAATGGAGGCAGAGGCAGGTGGAGCTCTGTGAGTTCGAGGCCAGCCTGGTCTACAGAGCAAGTTCCAGGATAGCCAGAGCTACACAGAGAAACTCTGACTTGAAAAATGAGAGAGAGAGAGAGAGAGAGAGAGAGAGAGAGAGAGAGAGGCAGGGGATGGAGGGGGAGAGAGAGGAGCTGTGAGCTGGCAGGGCTTACAGTGACCTGATGCAGCTCTCCGCCTGATGGGTTCACCAGGATCCGTGGTGTTCAGTCAACCCTGGGAGGTGAGGCTCAGGCTGGACTCTACTCCTGT